CCCCAAATAAAACCTCCTCGCTGTTTTTCCAGATGTTGTTAATGACTAGCAGCAGCAGCAACAGTCAAGTATTCAATACCCGCAGGCAACTAACCAACTGAAAACAGCAGCAGGTCTGTGAAGAAGTGTTGTATAAACAACTTAGAATGAATGAAGTGAGCGATTTCACAAAACCTCGAATCAACCAGCGACGAATGTTGATTCGTATACACAGTGCAACTCACTTGATGTTGCGGTCAGACTCTGTTTCAGACTGTCATGGTACTGGATCAGACCTTTACCTTTTGTAACAGCAATGTGGAGCTTTTCCCTCAGAGCAGATATCCGCTGCTCGGACTGATGAACTTCGGTGCAAATAACTATGAAGCAACATTCATCTACCGAGACCCAATAGCAAACCTCTGTGTTTTTCTTGACAACATCAATATACACATAATAGATGATGTTCAGAACTTGAATACATCAGACTAACACAACACCCAAAGCTTGAAAACAGAATCGCAAACTGCCAACAAAACCTTTTCTGCCATGCCTTTCAGCTACCACACTGTTCTCATCTGCTCCCCATTTCTATGATTGCAACTGTATCAAAAGAAATATAAAGGAACCCTCGTGGCTGTCAATTTCAAAGTTCTCTAGTTGTACCACTGCTCAGCTTGTTAGCTGGTGCAAATTTGAGGTTACTGTTGATTGCCCAAGTTACATTCAAGATGCAATTTCAATCACTGTGATGTGCGATTTAGCAAGAAAATGAAAACGATTGCTACTATTCAACTCAAAAATGGAACAACTCAAAACCAAACAACACAAAATCAAATGAACCTGATTGAATGAGTGATTTAACCTTGAATCCTTGAAACGAGCGATTTAATCTTTGAATTGGTGAAGCAGATGACTTACCTCATGATTGATTGATATGTGATTAACCTCAAACCAGTCAGCAACTTTGTTGAAGATAAAGAGAAATCTGGTTGAATCCGCTTAAGTGATGTACGTAGTCGGTTAACTCCGCTCAATGGGTCTGCCAATCTGGTCAATGATCAACACTTAATCGCTCAAGGAGTAGTTCTAAATCGCTGAGTACTCAGCCTAACACGTCCAAAGAAGTACCTAAATCTCCTAAGGCAATGTCTTAATCACTCAATAAGCTAGAATCCAGTCAAACCCGCTAACGGCCTAGGCGATATCGCTCACTGAGACAGGTTTAAATCACTCATCATATGATGTTTAATCCGGTCAACATTGCTCAAGAGGTGTTTGAATTCGGACAAATCCGCTCAAGTGATGCGAATTCGGTCAAGGTATAAGCCAGCGATTTATGAAGATCTTCGATTAAGCCTCAATCGATTTACCTCTTGATCGGACAAGGAGCTCAAGAACCTGTGCGATTTGAAAAACCTGTTGTGATAAAATAGTCCAAGTCTGTTGGGCCTAATCCAAATGGGCTGAGATGATACGGACTTTGAGCGATTTAGGCATTGCCTTAGGATCCAAGCGCTTACCACTACGCCAAAAGCAATTGCTGGTGGAGAAGGCACAACTTATTTCCTTATAGCGTAGCAGCCAACGCCACGTTTCGATTTAGGAAGATGCTGGTCAATGACCCAACAATCGCCCCCCAGCATCTGCCAGCACTAACAAGATCTTCGCTAGAAGTCAATGGCTGCACAGCATGCCTTTGGCATTATTATGCACTTCATGGGAATCGAACCCGTGACCTGCTCTGATACCACATGTTAGTCCTCTTTAATGATCAATCTTCATAAAGCTTCATAATCCATTGGCAGATCTGAATATAGAAATTAAGAACACTTGAGATAGATGAGAGAAAAAGTCAAAGCTCTAATTTTGGTCAAACTTCAATATACGTATAATGATTTTTACAATAAGCATCCTTACCAAAATTACAAGGAAATACCCTATTTATAGGGTCAAACAATACACATGGTCAAACAAACTTCTCTAAAGAAAAGTCAATCACGACGACTTTTCTACAATTATAGACAAATTTATCTTTCAAAACGATACAATTTTACACTGATTTTCAATCCTAACACCTAAATATGGATTTGTTGGACATTTCACTTAGAATTTATGAATAGTTGGACTGCCAAGTAGACACTAAGAAGGCTGGGTCTTGAGGTGATACATTCGTGATAGGCACTAAGAACCACAAAGCTTGAGGTGCTACTTTGAGTGTAGGCATTAAGTGTTTGAGATCCTTCAGGTGTTATCCAAAGAGATAGACACTTAGGTCAATCTAATCTTGAGGTGAAACGTGTTAAGAGTCATTGGGTACTTGGATCTTATGATCAATTATGTACATAATCCCATCCTATGAGAAACATACTCTTGTGTTCTTGCTACTCTTGATGGATACAGGTCTCCCTCGTTAATCCTGAAAAAACATTATAATTAGTTTACATATAGTTATCATTAATAACTATTTTGTAATTGTTTATCTTATTTTCATGCTCACTATGCTTTTTAGCCTAGTACTTGCTTAGTGTCGACATGTATCTCAGGTTCGAAAGGTGGGAATGCTTAGGCAGTCCTTTACCGTATTAGGGAGCCTTGGGGGGCATTTTGAGATGTCGCCTTTGAAATTATTTTGGTGGTTTACGTGACACCCAATTGTAATCTTCTTTCTTTATGGAATTTGATTAGCAGGTTGTTATCCTTATACCCTTTTGTTACAAATTGTAATTAAATAGACGTAGTTAAGTTTTTCTTTTTGTGGAAGGCTCATATTTTGATATTTATATATCACATTTCCATCTCTTTTTTCGGAAATTTTGTTGTCCCATTTTTGGGGTGTTACAAAATCGAAATCTTTAAGGAGCCTTCAAGAGATTGGGAGCTAGGATTCAAGTCTTATGGTTTGGAAACTCAAGATCTTCATCTTCTTCACCATTCACCACAATTGATGGATATGCGTCTCCCACATCACCAAATGATGTTATTTTTTAATATAATATTATCCTTGTTTTCAGCATTGTTTTTGAGTATGTAGTGTTTTCCTAATATTTGTGGTTTTCGGTTTTGAGCCTTGTTTGCTATTTTTGGGGCATTTTGAATAATAGAGTTTTTCATCCGTGATTAAAATAATTGGACATTAAACCTTATTTACGTTTCTGGAATGAGTGTTGGGTTTTGAATTTATATTGAATGTGTATTTTGATTTAGAGCTTTCATTACGAAAATAATTGGTTGTGGAAAAAAGTTGTTTTTTACGATAAATACATTTCATTTGAGAAACCAGGTTTCAGATAACCATCATTTCAGTTGTACTGTTTTATAATTATGATGAAACCTGCTTGAACTCACTAGACGCTAATCCTAACCTTTTTTTTTGTCGGCATTTGCATTAGGTCTTCGTTGGGTTTTGGTACTAGCAATACTGTGATGAATTAAGTGCTAGATAAATGCACAAGAAGGAATTAGCTATTCGTTGACGTCTTCTACAATTGGAGTTAGCGACCATTATTGGACTTAGTGACACCCGAACTTGACTTAGTCATCATGTAAGACTTGATTTATCAATTGTTGATGTTAAGTCTAGATTTGATATACGAGTTAATTTAGGTATTGATTTATAGTAAAGGATTTATACTTTATTTGTTGTATTATTGAAAATTTTAAATTAGTCGTGTTTTCCAGAATTAACGGTGTTACAGCTTATCCAGTTTGTAGATTATATTATTAATTATATTAAAGTAAACCACGATTTTTGTCCCTTCTTTTTCAAAATCATGGTTTTTGTCCCCATGATTTGCAATATATTGTTGTTTTCGTCCCTGATGCTAACTCCATCCCTGGTTTAACGTTAAGTATGATGAACATAAACATCGATAAATTGTAATGATATGAACAAGAAAAAAAATTAATTGTAAACCACATTGACAAAAACACAATGAATTGTACACTACATGAGTAAAAGAACAATGAATGGTAAGCCAGTAAACCACATACAAAAAAAAAGCAATGAATGGTAAACTACAGGAACAAAAACCATTATTTTGATTTCTCTCTTCTGAACATTTTATGTAAATGATTCTTAAATGAGAATAACAAAAAGCCATTTTTTTCTCCCGTAAACAATCTTTTTTAGGAGTTCTTTAAATTTGAAGAATTTTATCACCCTTTCTCTATTTTTTCTATTTTGAAGATAGTTCTGAAGAATTTGATTAAGCAAAAAAGCAACCGAAAATCTCCAAAAAGAAATTCATTTTGAAGAATCTATTGGAGATGCTCTAAAGAGTCTTGCGATCAAAGATTCAAAATACAACTTGAAAAGATTTTACAGTTTCATTTTAACCATGGGTTTGTAAGGGCTGGGTTACGGTTTAGAAGAAGAATTAAGATGAAAAGTGTAAGAAAAGATCTCCACCATTGGATATGAAATGCACCAAGGTGAGAAGCACCGGATTGATCCCCGTATCAAACGCGATTCATGGGCAAATTTGAAATTAAAGATGATCAAAAGTCCAGATCTCTTCTTACGGTTCTCACATTAACTCTTCTTCTCACACCATCCAATGCCGGGTTCGTAAAATATGCCTATAAGTACATGACTTCTGTCAAATTTCTTTACTGGATTCCGATTCCACCAAATTCCATCATGCGAACCAAACGTCCCCTTATAGTTTTCAACATCCAAAGACCAAAATTTTAGTTTACTTTGTATTAATGAACATTGACAAACAGAAGTATTAATATCATGGTTTAAAGTTTGCTTTATATTTTTCGTATTTGACAATATTATTTTCAACTCAAATTGAAGATCTTTTACCGTATATTTATTGCACGTGCCATTATCTCTTTCCCTAATGACACTGCAAAACAAAGTGACAGACGGATTTTTTCGTCGGTGATTCTGCGGGTAATTATGCACTCGACACATTTTCTTCGGCTATACGAGATCCACCGGTGATGGCTTTTTCTAGCGGAGAAGCCCATTGTTTTGTGTTGCCACCTAAGCTTTGCAACCAATAGTGATGGATCGTAAAATCGGGATTTAACTAGACAAAAATAGGTAAACAAATCTACATGACGATTACCCGAAGTTTGAATAAGGATTTGCAGCAAAAACTAGTTTTAAGGAACATCAAAGTGGAAAGCATGTAATTTGCCTTTCCATCTTGAAAAGGATTCTAACTTAATCAACCAAGCCACTGGGATAAAAATGCTATATCATAAAGAGGAACTTCTTTTACTCCATCAAACTTATATGTACTTACTATTCAGCAAGAACGAGAACTTTAATCGTTCCCCGACTGTTTGCAGTTATCATTGTCGGACTGTCGTTTTTCCAACAAACGGCACTTGTGAAGTACGACCCTGGCTCCTCACCCTCGTTTGCATCGGAACTAAATCCATGTGATGCTGCAGGTCTCGAAATAGCCTACAAACACAAAAACAAGATTATAATTTTAATTTCAAATTAGCTGTTTCGGGTGAGGTTCAAATTCATGGAGGGAACCAACTATTCATGATGAATATCACTTGATAATGTAAATTATTCATCATGATATGTATGTAAAAATGCATAAATATCATGGCAAAGATGCATTAAATCATAAATAAATGAAAATGCATGACTGCATTGTTTATTGATCACCCACCCCTTTGGGTGAAATTTTGCTCTCTAAGTTGTAAGCTAACCTTGTGGTACACAAAGACTTCATTAGTCTCACTGCCACAGGCGATGAATTCGCTATTCACAGTTAGACCCACGAAGTTCTTCTCATTCACATGTCCTCTAAACGTACGAAGCTGCGAGATTATGGAAGGAAAAAAGAAAACAAAAATGAAAGCCAAGTCCAGTAATGCAATAATGAACAGATGCACATAGGGATAGAGTGTTATGTTTTCAAACTAATTTCTAGGTTTAATACCATTTCTTCATTTTTCATTCTGGTGACGTTTTTGTGAGATGATAGATGAGAACGTACGAGACTCGAAAACTAAATATGCGAACGGAGAAAGACATGAAACTTTGTTATGTTTCTAACAAGTTATTTGTAAGGAGCTCTAGAGAAATGTTTCAGAAAGCTGTATACACACTTACATCAGAAAATAGCACACATTATAACATGATCATTTAGTCAATACAAGAATTGTACGAACAGCATTTATCTAACTAATATCATAACTAGATGTAATTATTTAAGACCAAAATGCATGAAAATGCGATGTACTTTGGTCTGATTCCTATTTGCATGACGTACTTCCAAACCTTCATTTTGGTAAACATTTAAAAGTACCAAAATACATTTCAGAATGCATCTCACAACATTTCAGAATGCAAAATGCTATGTACTTTGCTCCGATTCCTATATCATGTAATGTACTTTGGTCTAAATGATTCAAGAGTTATCACATATAAGGTACCAAATTGAAAGGTTATGCAAGTACGATACACAATAAAAACTAGACAAAAGTACATTGCATATTCATGCAATTTACCCATATTTTAATATATTGAGAAGAAACAAATACAAAAATGTTGATAGTATAAACCATTGTTGTAAGATCAAAAGAAGCAATACTGTTATTACTATGTTCGATTTTGATTTACTCTAAATTTTAAAAATATGATTTCAAGGTATCTGGGTTTTTTCAGTTAGCAATGTTGCAGAACAAAATATTACATGAACTACAACAATCATAAAGATTCCAAAGGGTCTTTGGGAAACTATCCGGTAACCCAACTTTTCTAGAGGTCAAGGGTTCCAACCTCACCAAAGGTGAGGGGCTGTTTGTTTACCTCTTAATAGTTCCATTAAGACGCAACCTCTGAATCGTTAAGAGGTGAATCTTGTTTGGCAAAAAAAGTCCGTCTCTTCATGGTTCTAAAATCCTCTGAATGATTTTGTATCTTGGGACTCTGAACCATTCAGTGCCTTAATTTCTTTCCGAACAATAACCAAACAACCATATTTCATTTTTGCGCTATATCATAAGAGCCTTTTAATCATTCTGCACCAAACCATTCAGCAACTGCCAAACAACCCCTAAGACCCATGTTTGAGTTCATTTGCCGTATATAAATATTATATACTTCAAAATACATAGAGGTAAGAAATGCTATTACAAGAGGACGTTCCATTTTACTAGGAGATTATATCCTATACACAGTAAGGTACTAATCGGATATTAATTTGCCGGTATAAGATATCATAGTACAACATTATTAATTAGTTTGGTAAAAGATTTCCTTAGACACATGAGAAGCTCGAGTGTAAAATTAGGTTTCAACTATGAACAGAAACTGCATGAGAAGCAGACATATGCTTACCGGGATACTATGCTTGACATCCCACAACCGCAGCGTGCTATCAGTAGATGCAGAAGCAAGCTCATGGTTGGACAAGAATTTTACGTAAGAAACAGCTTTCCGATGCCCACTGAAAACATGCAATGGTTGGCTTACATTCCTTAAGTCATAATAATGAATATGATGATCTGCAGAACCCACCTGCAAGGTGCAAAACATCCTCCCCGAAATAAGCAAATCTGTGCACCTACATTGTTGGAATAATCAAATAAAAACCAAACCAAACAAATCCATATGTCCCACCCGGATGTGGGCTTTGGCGGTAAGATGCACACGGACCTGACGTCTTGACCTCTACCCCAAAGAGTAGAGCAATTGTTTATGTTGGGTTGTGGGTGTTTGGGGGGGGGGGGGTTCTTGTGAAATTGGAAAAATCAAATCGAAGGTCAACACACTAGACTAAAGAGGAACTTACCGCAACATGAAAGCTAGATCCAGGATTATACTTCACTGAGCAAATATTTGCTTTCATGTCAATGTTAAGGACACTTGCCTCTTGTCGTGTACACCATATCTTCACCTGTTCAATAAGTTGGAAACATACAGGCAACATTATGAAGCTTGAATACAAATCAAACAGAGCACAAAACAGAACTCTCACATACTCATATCAGTAAGTTATCTGATGGTATAATGCATAAAAACAAATTCAGGGACCATTTACCAATACAAATCAGGTAAGCGCTAACAGGGTAAGAGTTCGGTCCGAGTAAGAGTCCCTCCCTTAGCTTACCAGGTCAGCATCATAGATCGCGTGCTAAACAGCAGCATCTTTGACCAGGTTAGTGCCTCTTACCAGGAAGCAGGTAGTAAATAGCCTCGTTTCATTGTCATATATTACATACATGCATGATGGATGGTCAGTGTACACCCCCCCAAGCGAAGGTTTGGATTTGTTCATGTTACCATCATGCATCAAAAGAATTCTAAATCTTAATTTGGATTTCCAACTGTTTAGAAGTGGCTTGGAGAAGTACAAGTGAACTGGTCCATTAGAACAATTATTTTAAAACAAGTGAAGGTCAACAGATGGATTAGAAAACCACATATTATTCGCTTCTGAACCATGAGTACCTTACAGTCATCACTTCCAGATACTAGCATTGTAGGTTCAGTACGTGAAAAATCAAGACTCCATGCTCGTTTCTCATGCTCCTCATACTCCATTACGCTCTGAGGCAGAGTTGTAATTCAAATTGGCATGATAAATAATTAAAAGCCAACTCAAGGGAAGATGCTACCTGGCGAGTGGTTACATCCCAGACGGTCACAATACCCTCGTAATCACTACTGGCTATATGACTTTTGGTGTACTTGTTCCAGCTCAAACAACTAAGTTTGGAGCGTGTTGACATTTCCACCACCACAGGTAACTGAGCATCTGCTTGTTCATTCACCACCTGGAAAACCGAAAACCGCTAATGCAGATGAGCACATAATAGATATAAATGGACAAAAAAAATTATCAAGTTCCAAGAAAACCAATTGCAAGCATCTAATCAAATGACTTCATGCAAGAGATCACTATGATCGCATGTCATCATATAATTTAAGTGTATGATCAATTGTAGTTTATTGTGAGAGAACATATAGCCATACATTTTAGATGAATATGCTCTCACAAGAGTAGGGGATGGTTTTTGCAAGATATGCTTATTGAGTCTTCTGTTGTCTAGATTATTTGGTAACAGAAGTAAAATAAATACACAATAGTATAAGAATAAATAGAATCACTAGAACCCACAAAAATGAGATCTCTTACAGATATGCAGTTAATGTACAACATTTTAATTTTAGTTTATCTGCATAAAGTCCAAGGGGGTGTTTGGTTAGAGGTATTAAGCAGTAATTAATGGGATTGAAAATAAAGGGAAGTGTTTGGTTTTATAAAATGTAATGGGCCCATTCTCCCACAAGCAGAGATTTGCATTCCAGGTTAAATTGGAATAAATGAAGTTCTTGTTGACGTGACTTGAATCATTCTCAAATGGAAATTGTATTCATATGGTAACTCGCGCCAGATAGATGGTTAAAAAGGCAGTTCATCTACCTCCACTGCCTCCCTATAAAACTATACTTGTTTAAGTTCAAACACCATAAATGCACAAACAACACTTCCGCCCCCAAATATTCCAAATCTTTCCTGCTTGGTATATCTCAAGAGAAGCGAATCTTGCGACAAAAATGAAGAAGCATTGATTGGCCTTAATTTAGGAAGCAGTACTGCCATTGTAGTTAATAGCTCTAAAATAAGATAACTTTTATATTCCACAGGGTTTCTTCAGATTCGTTAAAGTAGCTGTTCATTATGCACTTTGAGGAATATCTAAGACGCATGTAACGTGCTTTGGAAATTCTTTACTAGTATAACAGAAATGAAGCAAAAATAACAAATATAGAAGTGGAAGCAACCTTAAGCCTACAGTGTTTGTGCAGCCAATCACTTTCTTGATAAGCCTGCCAAGCCAAAAGGGACACTAATGCTTGGACAAACTGACAGCAGGGTACTTGAGTGTTTGTCCCAAGCCACTGATAATAGCTATGCACTTGAAACTAGCAAGTAGCCATATTTATAGATCTACAATGTATTTATCAAAAATAACACCGATCTACATCGTTATATAAAAACCAATCTACATAGCAAATAATGAAACAATGCATATCGGTAATTCAACACTAGATGCAGAGAAAAATTACAATACAATCTGTAAAACTAACAGTCCAGCCACAATGAACTGAAATTAATATTCAACATAGAATTGAATCCCCTCAAATTATAATTTGAAGGGGTTTGATACTAGGCCAGAAGTGCAGATCAAGCTTAATGCAACACTTACAGAGGCAAACTCAAAAACTTTGATTCGTCGTGAAACTCCAGCAGTTGCAAAAAGCTCATCATCTCGGTCAAATTCTATGCTGCAAGTAGGCAAAAAAGTCAAACGAAATAGACACAAAGGCTGTGTGTTTCAATGAGTTTCTGTTGCAGGCCATCTTTATTATACCAATAAGATGCCTGATGATCAATGAAGCAACAACGCCTTTGTTTAACCAATACTTGCTAAGAAGCTTGCAAACTTGATGACCTCTCATGGTTGGTAAGAATATAGTTTGCTGAAATGATGCTTCTACACTATAATAATATTCAAATACTTTCAACTAGTTTATCAAGTTGACATAGCAAAAAAACGGTGAACATGTATTCCTTCACATAAATAAGGTTGCTATCATTCTGATATCTTGATAAGCAGATCATTTTCTTTGGAAGAAATATTGGCTAGGAAGCTAGGAACTCTGAATACAATATTAACCATCCGAAAACTGTTGTTGAAACAACCATTTCCAGTTCACTGTCAACAAGTACTATCACACTAGTTATCAACAAAAACTAGTTTATAGTAACTTTAGGCTAGTGTACATGCCATAGTTTCTCACAATTCTAAGAATATCAAAGGAAAGAGTTAGCCATCTGATAATTTAAAAATATCAACCACCATATGAGTCAAATCTTCTAAACTAACCTTGATATAATATCAGCTGAGTGAAAAAGATCCCCATGCCTAAGTTCAGCAATGACTCGCAATCGACTACATAAAACAAATAGAACATGGACATGTTCAAATTTTCTGTTCGATAAAGGATGAGAACAAAGTAACATGGACATAAAGACACACACTACACCTGTATCGTGTAAATGTAGAAAGTACAGATTGAAAGTCCTTCAGTCCTGTATGAAAACCTTCTCTTTTTACAGGATTACTGTCCCTTTCTTCCTGCTTCTGCGTTTGTTTTGCCCAATGTCTTCTCTTTTGCAGGTAACATTCTTGCAAGTCATTAAACTGTTGCAATTGACACATGATGAAACAAATATAACTGAAACAGTGACAACGGTTAACAGAAAACAACAAACCCTAATACTTGACAGCTTGACTATTCAAAATCTTATTATATGAGAGAAGTTTGAGATGATTTGCAATAAGATAGTGTGCAGAAAGCCAGCACAAATGAAACATGTAGAATATCTTGTTTCTTATGTTGTTACCACTTTTAAATGTGCTCATTCAACCTCGTTGAATCAAAACATATATACCAATGCTAATATTTAAATCCCAGATCTTGCAAATGAGAACACTGACCTGTGCATGAACCCGCCTTTTTCTTGCTACAGTTACTCCTGCTTGAGTATTCTGTGAATCTGACCCACTGCAAGCATCCTTTCTTTGAAGTGCTAGAGAGCTTACAGGAGCCTGTAAATCAGGTAACCTACTTTGTGGACTTCCTGAACCAACGATGTTTCCCATAGGCATACTGCTGCTATTACGTTTATCCATCAATGATGGCCATGATGTTTTTACAGTGGAATCATCAGAAAGCATCCTTAGTTTTAACGAGCATCTTTCTCTTGCTCGATGCAATTCTATTCTGTGTCTCTCTACGGCGCTTATGTCTTCCTTAATGTACTGAAGATCATTTTGTACCTACAATAAGACCAAACAGAATCAGCATTACAATCAGAAAGTATATCGTGACAGTGCTAGAACTTGGTGAACTGTTTTAAGGGTGGCCCCAACACAAAACAAGTGCCACATTAGATACATGCAAAAGATGAGAGTCAGCACCCAATGAGCTACAGCCTTCACCCAGAGAATATCCCAAACAAGGCCAATTGACAATAACTAGTTTTAGTAGTCTACATTTTGGCATCCCAATGACTAATGCAAAAGTGAATAAAAAACTCTGTAACAGATTTGCTATTTTCTAACAAAAGGGCACCACTTCCCACAGCAATTTCAAGGTCTGGCACCCCTGCAGTGAACCATAAATGGTATGCCTCTAATTGACTCTCAACTAAACACCAGTAAAACATATTTGTTAAGATCTTTAGAATATCACATGCACAAGCCAAAACAGGTAGGCGAAATTGAAGACCTCATTCAGCTCTTCAAGCTTCTGCCTTCTTAAGCAATGCAAAAATTCGTGCATAATATGCAGATTTGTCTCAGCTTCTTCTTGCTCCATTTTTCTTTTCTTCTCAGTAAGAAGAGTTAAGAGGCTGTCCAGCTCCTTGATTGACACATCGCATCCCTGTCTAAGAGAAAAGAGTCACCTTTAAATATATAAAAACGAATGAGATATTAGCATCTTGGTGACCAAGACGAATTTCATTTGATATATATGCAACATATCAACTCATTATATTTCTTTTTCCTTAAAAGTATGTTATTCGAGGTAAAGAACATGACGAATTGTGCTAAAGGAAGAGGCCTCTTCGCACACGACTCCCTTGTAGGTTTACCAAGCAGGCCAGCCATGCTTGCTGAGGGAAGGCATAATGCTAAATCACCATTCATCATGAGGGATAAGGTGAGATATTGCACATAACAATGGTGTTTAAACAAAAAAAGATTATCAAACAAAAGCCCCTAATACCCAATGGAACTTGCATGTTGTGCATGTAGAAATTTTTTTAATGACTGCTCATTGTGTGATCTACCTTAAACACACCCACAAATATGCGGTGCAACTAGAAGCTTGAATTAGGATTAGATTAGAAATAGGGTTCCTTACAATTATGTTTAAGCCGATAGGCCCACATATGTAGGTTTTGCATTAGATAATAGACATTGAATTTATCCAAAATATTTACACAATTTCAGATCCAAAGCCATGTTAGAATATGGTGGAACCCTGTAAGTAATCACTTTCCCCACTGATGGAAACTTTCAAATTCAAGAGGAGCGTGGTTCGAGCTTAAGTGTAAGAAGATAGAATTGAGGTTTCTCGTGTTCAAGCTTATGGGTGAATCTTGTGTACTATTTTATATTCATGGTTTCACCTTTGTAATGAACAGAGTGACATGACCTAGATATACAGTATTATTCGTAGAAAAAACATGAAGAAAGATCATTTCAGAGAGCATGCCTGTTCAAATGCATACAGCGAAGAACTCATCTCTACTATGTAGTCCACAATATTCAAATTGAAGCTCTTGTATAACTGAACTCATAAATACAGCTCAAGCTAAATAATTTGAAGCCTCATTTCCAAAAGTAAGATTATAAATATGGCAGAGTTCAGCGACAAATAGTTTCATGCGAAGGGCCCTGGTTTAACCCCTCTCTCTGTCCCTTGAAGTAAACTATGTTAAAGCAATTACATACCATCTACCAAGTAAACTAGTATTTCAATAACTGAGTGAACTTTATTACCAAAGAGCCTTTAGCCTAGCGGTATGTGAGTCTTTGGCCTCCTAGGAGGTCAGAGGTTCAATCACCAAAGGTGAGGAGGGTGTGTGAATTTATTTGTTCTATTTGCCGTATATAAATATTATATATTTAAAAAAAACAGCATCTGTATCAAGCAGTCATACCATAAGAGTCATAAGAGTAGCTAATGTTCAATACGATAACTGACCTGTTGAAATGCTAGACGGACTTGTTCAACAGGAGATGCACCTTTTGCTATTTGACAAGCTGAAGCCTTCATCAATAGCTGCATGAATTGTCCTTTGCATTAAGTAGCTAGATGTACATTGTGTACATACTTTGCTTGTTGCGTAATAGTGCTCATAAATAAGAAGGATTAAGAAAAATTGATTTTCTTACTTGTAACTTCCTTAACTTTCTTCATTAATAAAAATAAAGATATTTTACATGCAAAGGATTATGACCTTTTAGTCATTAACAAATGGAAGGGGGAATAAGTGTAACCATAGACAACCATATGGGAGACTTTTGCACTCGAGGGTTGAATTGGGATGTCATGAAGTAATGACCGGTTTAAAATGTGCTGATAGATATTCTGATAAAATCCCAACAGCAAGAAAAACAAAGATATACAAAGTTAAGGTGTTGAGATTAGCTACTGCCAAACACGTATAATAGTATAATCAGGCTAAGTTATAGTCAATGTATCCTGTCAATAATGTAACTACAGGGACGTAATTCGTCATCATGTCAATTTGTCAACCACGGGAAGAAATTACTAAAGATAAAGACACAAATCAACACAAAATGAAGTCTAGTCATCCAATTTGCTGAAAGGATTACCATATACGCAGATGACCAACATAGAGGCACTAAAGCACAGAACTCCAACATTGACCAATTCATGCCAAACCAAAAAGTGAAACGTTTCTATTCCTAAAAAATGACTATATGCAAGTACAACTTCCCATATTGTGCATGCTTTGCTCCATACAAATAAATACACAGGCAGCATCACTCACAACCGCTTACTATAAACTTATCAAGCTGAAGGACCATGGATATCTTAAGTGGCTCCTAATCCTTCTAATTAATTAGCCCAACAACAATTAAAAATAACACGTAATATACGAATCAAAAACTGTACTCCGGTACATCAATTCCAAGTGATGATCATGGCGAGATACTGATTACTTGAGCAAAAAATTACCTTGTTAAGCAAAAAATTAGGAAATAGTTGATTAGTGGTGAGATACTGAGCACACGAAGGACAATCGCTCTTATTCTGAAGATGTGTAGCAATGCACATGTAACAGAAGTTATGACCACACGATGTCAAAAACGCATCCTTAATGATCTGCATGCATATCGGACACAAGACATCTTTATCCAGCGCTGCCGCATCCACCGAAGCACGATCATTTCCCCTTGCCTCCACCTCCACCACAGCCAAAGCGGAATCCGGCGCCGGAAGCTGCGTCGGAGGTTCCTGAGACAGCGGTGGTGGTGGAGGTGAAGAAGCGACTGCCAGCCTGTCTGACGACGGTTCAGGCGGTTCCGACTTGACCGACGGCACAATCACTCCTCCTACTGAACCACCTCCCATAGTCTCACTCTAGAAACACATATTCTCTCTCTAAAAGGGTGTGTGAAGATGTCAATGGCTCACCGTGGTAACGCTTCTTCGCAGATGGTGTGTGTGTGTGTGTGTGAGTGCGTGTATGGGTGAAAACTGACCACGTTGTGCAGGGTTCAGTTTTGATTCTTTTCCATTCCTTTCAAAAAAACAATATATATATATATATATATATATATATATATATATAAACCGACTCATCTCTTGTTCAAATATCTGAGGTGTTTTTCCACGTCATCTCTTACTACAACTATTCATTCTTAACGTTTAAATATAACCTTCACCTTCACGAGATTTTTTTAAAATTTTTTGGTTAAAATTATCAATTTCAACGATTTTTCTATTTTGCATATCACACTATTATTTATTTTACTAAAATATTTAATATTTGATAAAAAAATTAATTTTAAGAAATTTTATTGGTGGGAAAAATGAAAAACATTCACAGGTCCGTTCCTGATATTTTATGGGTCTGGACGAACATAAAAACATTGTCCACTGTAAGAAAGAATGTTTTTAACGACTTTTGTCGTTGCTAAAAGTCCATTTATGATCAGAAAGAGTATATAACATGTTGTCATTATAACTTGTGCCGAAAATATGTCATCGCTAAAAAGCGCATCGTCAAAGTTCACTTTTCTTGTAGTGACCCTCAGTAAGTACGAAAATAAATTCAGTAAATGTTTTTCATTAGTATAAAATTGAGTACAAGAAATGCAAATAATTTACTGAGGAAAGAAATCATATTTATCTTTATTATAGATATATAAGAGAGTACTTAAATTTACGTACCTCTTATTAGGTAATTTGAAGCCAAGAGTATAAAAACTATGGTTGATAAATTTTTATAAAAAATAAGAATTTTTTTAGTTCATAACAAGAAATATGTGTTATTTTGATATAAAAAGAGAATTTGTGTGAATGAAGTAATTGTGAGCATCAATGAGAGATCAATAATAAAGAAGATTATCAAGGTTTTCTAGACAAACAGACAAATAAGAATCAATAAGAATATGAAAGAAAAGATTATACATTGAGAACCAATAAAAGTAACTAATGAATTAAACATATAATATGCAAGCTCAATAAATGATTGTTTGAGCACTTAAATAGAATATTGTGTTTTTGTGGAATCCCAATGAAAGATACATAAGTCAAACAATTGATGAAAATATTTATATTTTATTTTTCTTCTTTTTTTGCTAAACTAAAATAAGATGTTAAGATTAAAAGTTTATGTAACATGACATATATAAAAAACATTACTAAATACATCTAGTAGAAAAAAAATATTGATTAATCACAAAACCATGAAACACATCACAAATTATAAGAACAATAGATTGATTTTCAAACAATAGTAAAATATTTTATGTAGAAGCAAAATAGATAATAATAGTCAACAAAAACAATTAGAACAACATAACTAAATAGCAATAGTCAATAGAAGCATAAATTGATAAAAATATCGAACAAAAATATATAGCAATAACAAGTACATGATCTTAACGTTGAATTGTTGAAGCACGAAAACAATCAAACATATAGAGATAACAATAACCAATATCATTGGACCTTGTTGGAGATAAAAAAAAATTAGAGTGGCAAGAAACAAAACATATAATGAATGATCAATTAATTTTATTTTATTTTATTCTCTAATGTAATTAGTTGATATATTTTTTAGCACTTATTATCACCTAAATTCTTTTTGCCTCATATTATATGATACAATTTTTTGGCTTCCTTTACTTTATTAAAAAAAATTAGACTACTGTTGTATTTTAAGTGAAAAATTTGGGCCCCTCATATTTTTGGGCCCTGGGCATGCGCCCGTGCTGCCCTCCCCCAGGGACGGCCTTGAGCATTCACTCTCATAATCCATTATTTTTAGAGACTTCATTACATTAACAAAAAAAACTATCATCTGTTTTACTTTCTTTATTTAACTAAAGTTTTAGAGAGTATGTCAAAAAATCTATATATATATATATATATATATATATATATATAGATTTGGGATCATGTGAGACCAACCTGTTTTCGTGAGACCCATGAGACCAACATTTTACACTTGAAACTTCACAGCAAAATGCTGTGAAGGTAACTTTTTAAAACCTTCACAGTGTTTTTGCTGTGAAAGTTCGACTTTTTTTTAAACATTCACAGCGTTTTTGCTGTGATGTTTATGTGTAAAAATGTGGTCTCACGGGTCTCACGAAAACAGATTGGTCTCACGTGAACCCAACCCTATATATATATATATATATATATATATATATATATAACAATCTATATTTTCCCTATTTTGAAAATTCTTATGTGGATACTTCACCTCAACAAATTTTTAGGGTTTGTTTAGTTTGTAAGATTGTTTATGAGAGATTCAGATTTTATGAAAGGATTTGGATTTGGATTTGGATTGGAATGAATTTAAAATTATTTGTGTGTTTGCTTTGTAGGATTTGGATTGGAATTGAATTTCATTATTTATACAAAAAATATAAATAATTAAATTACATTTTTATCGATCAATTACTATAAAATAAAATGTTTTTAACATTTTTTAAAACCTTATTTCATACAATTTTACGAAATCCTGAGCACCCCTAAGGATTTCAAAATCCTATGTTTGTAGGATTTCAAATCTGGACAATGCAATAAACCAAACATGAGATTGGAATGTATTTGAAATCAAAATCCATTCCATTACTGCAAATCAAACGGGACCTTAAAGACTTTCTTAAGTTAGACACAAGAAAAATAATGACATAACACACTTTTGTATTAGAAATTATTATTGTTAGAGATTTTCACGAAAAATGACCAGAATATACCTGATGTATTAACAAAATAGCCATTTTTTTACGGGATTTGCCAAACTAACCATATGGATTGCACCCGGGGGGCATGGTTTGACCATGGAGGTCGATCTTCTCATATGTTGACCATAAAGTACAAAAAGTACAAAAAAAATAATAATATAAAATTAATTTGTGGGGCCCACATGTATCTACTTTAGAAAACCAAACATTATTTGTCTCGATAACCGGGATCACCCCCACCTCACCGGATCTTCCCCCGGGGCGATCCAACCTTTTTTTGGTTGAATCTTATTTCGTCTTTTACTGCAACAAGTTTTATTATAAATACTAACCTCCTCTTTGATTATTTTTCACACCTCATTTTTCATTTCTATTCTCTTATCTTCTATTATCATAACCCTAAACCCTTAAACACAATAAACCATCACAATCCTTAACCCTTAACCCATTAAACATAATCTACCATCACAACACATCACCCTTAAACACAAATATGAAATCACATCAAAGTGATGATGTTTTGGTGTATCTTCGAAGTGACGATTCATTCCAGGAGATAAATGGTGTCTTAGAGTACCTTCCGTTAAACTCCCCCGTACATGTATTACGTTTGCCTTCGCCAATAACGCATTCTGGTTTGGTTAAACGTGTTACGAAAAAGTTAAGTTTACGTAGTCCTTTCATTTTATTTTATAAAACAAATTCCTTTTACAAATATTATACCAGTTAAGCGATGACGACAATATGCTAATGTTCCATCAAAGTTTACCAGAAATGTTGACACTCTTTGTGGTCGACGATGGTGGTTATGGTGGAAATCCATCAAGTGCTGTACTCCATCAAAGTTTACCCAACAGTCCAAACACTTTTTACCCCGGTGGTATTAGCAGTGGAAATCAAAGCACTCTCTTCCCCGAAGGTAGTGGTGTAAACCCATATGGTCCAAACACTTTTTACCCCGGTAGTGGTAGTGGTGGAAATCCAAGCACTTTCTTCCCCGGTGGTGGTGGTGGAAATTCATATTTTGAACCAAAAAATACTGTTGATCATGATAGTTATTTGGTTCAAGATTTGAACATGTCTCCGACACAGTCTCCCAACCCGTACTTGATCCAGTCTCCGGATCAGTCAAAAACTTTGTGGGAGGTAGATATGGCTGAGGATGTTTCTGTTGCTGCAGAAATTTTGAATATACCCGAAGACGATAACTCCGATGTTGAAGAAATCCAGCCGAAAAGGAAATTGTTTTGGGGTATGTCCGAACCAACACCTTGCCCAGACCCTGTAGGACCGTGGAAAAGAAATCATGGAAGATGTGAACCAACGTTTCAATATTAGCATTTCCTACAGCCAAGCATGACGAGCAAAGATGTATGTCTTGTAACTGTTGAGGGGGACCCCTGAATCGTCGTTTAACCTACTTCCGGTTTATTATCACAATTTGAAGATAGCAAATCCGGGGACTATGACAGAGATCATTGTTGACAGACTTGGACGATTTGACATGTTGTTTGTCGCACTTGGTTGTTCGGTAATAATTTTTGTTATATTCTTGAATTATTGCCATAATTTTATGTTCTGAAGTTTATATTTGTAACCTTGTTCATCTGCAGATTCACTCATTTTCTAGGACACCTGAGACCGCTCCTTATGATGGACGATGCCCATATGAAGGGGCCATATGTGGGCACCATGATCTTAGCAGTCGGCATGGATGGAAACAATGGGATCGTACCCATTGCAATAGGAGTGGGGAAGACAGAAAGTGGCCCGTCATTGGCATGGTTTTTATATAAGCTGAGGCAGTATATCGGTGAAGTGCCCAATTTAACCTTCGTAACCGATAGGGTTGCCTCTATCAACTTGGCCATACAAACTGTATTCCCCAACGCACAACACGAACTTTGTTGTCGGCATCTGAGCCAGAACTTGCGCCTAACCTTTAGTAAAGACAAAAGGAAAAGGTGGATGCGACACAGTCTACCTAACGCCGTTCCATATCTTGAGGAAGTTGGTTACGCTAGATGGGCACGATCTTACTTCCTTGGATTGTGTTACAGTGCAATGACTTCCAATAGTGCGGAGTCCGACAACTTAGTAATTTGGTTTGCACGTTACCTTCCGATAACAATGTTAGTCGAATTTTATCGGGCGACATTGCAACAATGGTATTTTATACATCGACATAACGGAGGTAAATGCAACCATCCAAAACTATATGGTTGATTATGTAACATATGCTAATGTTATCAAATATTTGCAGCTCAAATGATGAATGTAATGACACCTTGGGCAGAG